TCCTAGACGAATGGTAAATTAAAAATTCGCTATAGTCGTTGTCGTAGGCGCCGTCATAATCGCCGTCGTAGTCGCCGTAGGCAGTACCGTTAGTACATTTAGAATTAACCATCAACCGCTGAAACTATATGAATTATCGCCTATTTCTGTTGTTCATTACATACCAAGTGAAAACGAGAACGTAGTTTCATTTCAATTGCTTGTTTAACCATGGCTTAAACAATTGTCACGTCGGTCTTCTTCTTCTTCTTCTTCTTCTTCTTCTTCGCATTTCAAGCTTATTGCATATCGCATATTAGCTTATTGCGTGCTCTCAACTTAGTGTTCTAGATGCACTTCCACAGTTGCCTGTACCATTTTTGCATTGATATGATTGTGTGGCAAGTCCAATCATACTGCTATGCCCAGGGAAGTCGAGAAATTTTCTAACCCGAAAAATTCCTAGACCGAACCGGTAATCGAACCCAGCCACCTCCAGCATGGTCTTGCTTTGTAGCTGCGCCTTTACCGACTGAGCTAAGGGAGGCCCCGTCGGTCATAGCTTGTTATGATTGCCTGAACCATGCGTGAAGAGCAAATCGAAACATTGAAAGTCGCGTGAAAGTGGAACTTAATGAAGGTCTAAGTAGGGGAAACAGCCCTATTGTGGCGGTACGTTAGCAGCGTTAGAAGCCTATTGTTGTGTATGGGGGTTTTCATACACAACAATAGGCTTCTAACGCACCGCAACAATAGGGCTGTTTCCCCTACTCTTTCGTAGCTTTTAGTTTTAGGATTTGAAAGATCGTCGGTTGCAGTGGCTTGCTTACTGAGCAGAAAACCGCAGCCCCAGGTCCTTTCATATTAAAAATGTATGGTAAGATCGCTTGTTTATCGTGTATTTTGTAAAACTTTTCGTTTTCGTCGGTGCCAGTGTCGGTGGAATAGTTATAATAACTTGAGTAACGGTATAATGTGATATTAGGGGCTCAGTGGCCTTAGAGCAACCGTTTTTGCTTACTGAGCAGAACATCATGAGTCTAATCTCAAGCCCATCCACATTCAAGATTCGTCAATCGTTTTATTTGTTAACATGACTACATGGTAATAACAGCAACTCGATGATTAAAAAGGAGCTCGTCTGCCTAGAGGCAAATGTTTTGCTTACTGAGCAGAAGACCGTGGTTTCAATCCCAAGCTCATTTGCGTTATATGATCGTTAGGATATCAATTCAGCTTATCGTTTACCAAACCGAACCCTGCTGTGATTCCTTGTGGAAGTGCAGAGGTGTTCTCGGCTTCCTTTCTTGACCTGCGTTCGGGCGCGGCCGGCGCTGGTATTGCCTAGTTTGAGATCACCAGTTTTTACACATTGAGGATGATTGCTAGTCCCAAGCATCGTCTATTGGTTCTCTGTGTAATTACAGCTGGTCTGGCAATAACAGAGTAGCAACCGTGGGTGGTCAATAATGCTCATGCTCATGATTGTCATTAAGGCCTCTGAACTTATGATTTGCTGTATAATTTTTCGCCCGACCCGAACTTCGGTCCAACTATCCTAATGTCGTTGGCCTATATGCTCGACCTATGTGCTATCGAGAAAGTTCACTAAGGATATTTGTATCAAGTCTTATTTTACTAACAATCTAAATCCAACGAGAATGGTAGGTGTGGTAGATAGAGTTGGTACTGAATAATAATCATAGTGAGTAACGATAGCTATACCTTGAGTAAACTTGATTCAGCGTGTAGTCTTATAATACAAACGAATTGAGTATACTGAAGTCAGCGTGTAGCAAAAGAATATAGTGAATAGTGTTTTTGGAGTTAAATGTTAAGCTCCTATGGGTAGAGGTCATAGCAAAAAAAAAAAGGGTTCAGATTCTCCCGATGGCAGATTGGTGAAGATAGTCTTCGGTAGGCTCCCTGATGGAAAGGCAGAGGAGTAGGCCGGTAGCCAAAAAGACTAAAAACAAATATGAAAATATTCTTCCGATGAGAGATCGGCGAAGATAGTCTCCGGTAGGCTCCCTGGCGGAAGGGCAGTAGAGTAGGTCGGTAGAAAAAAAAGAAGAAAGAAGCAATGACAGGATTGGCTGGTAAATAAAACCGAATGTTGATGACAGTATAAGATGATTGTAATGTTGATTTGGTTGTCATTATTAAAGAGGTTTTCAGCCGTAGGCCGGTTCATATCTTCAACGCAATATTGATCATAGTAATATTGAACATGCAATGTGGGGATGGCAAAATTTACGAAGGCAAAATCGATATAGTGATTTTGAAATTGATGGAACTGCTGGATTTGATGGTGGTATTGAAGTGTGGATTATTTTGTAAAAGGAAGATTTTTATGCAACTACAATTGGTGTACAAAGTGGTATAGGTTGTAAGTATAGTAAAACAAAAAAAATCTATGACGAATGAAGGAGTAACTTACGTGCCCGGAGGTGATGAAGTTGACGGTAATGACAAAATGTATGGCTAAATTGAAGTTGATACGGTTGTGAAGCTGATGGTAATGATAGAGTTTATGGCAGTATTTAAGATGTTGAATGTTGATGTTGATAAAATTATTGAAATTTATGGCATTGTTGAAGATGATGGTGATGCCAAAGTTTATGGAAAAGTGAAGTTGATGATTGGATTGCAGTTGAATTTTGAAGGAAATATTGAAGTTGTTGGTAATAGTGCTATAAAGTTGAAGTGAAGAACTTTTTAGCAATATTCGAAACATGTGCTTAAAAACTATTAAGCTAATGAATGTTCGTTGATGTATTTTGTTGATAATTGCGGTAATGTGTATGTGTTGTTGAATTGTATCTGTACTCGTAAGAGTAGAGAAGGGAAAGAATGTGGTAGATAGAGTTGGTACTGAATAATAATCATAGTGAATAACTATAGCTATACCTTGAGTAAACTTGATTCAGCGTGTAGTCTTATAATACAAACGAATTGAGTATACTGAAGTCAGCGTGTAGCGATTATTTGATGATCAAAGAAACGCACACAAACATATATATATGCGATGAGGAAACTACCCGAAGCATGAGCTTCGCCTTTGTGCATGACTGCATGGTGAAACCAGTCATTTAACTAATTTTGTAGCGCACGGTTGTGCATTGTGCTAGTCTTTGTTGAGACAAATGGCCGAGGCTTGAAACCTCGGTCAAGTCACGACAGTAGGTACTTTTTTAGTGAATGTATCCTTTCCAGGTATCGACCACGATCGACCTTCGCTACAGGTAAGTATACGAGGATAAATATTCACATTCAATTGCATCATAAGCTTTACTAATTTAATTATTTTTCGTTTACTTACAGGAATTAGCGATAAACTAGAATCGTTTTTTTTTGTTCTTCCTTCGACCAATAGTACTATTTGTATACTAATTTCGATTTATTAACTTGAACCGCAAAACTGAACATTGTTTATATTCCAATAATTGATCGAGATAATTTGCGATGGCGAATTATGTTTAACATACTTCCAAAGGCGAGGCTCGAATGGAGCAACGCTGACAAAACTGGGCCAGAATTATTTTTTGGTGAAAACTGGGTTATCCAGGATTATTGAAGGATACAACGGTCAAAGGACGTCCCCGCATCATCACTATATGGGTGAGGAGCTCGCGGGGCTTTTAAACATGGCTGGATCATGAATTTGACACAGTAGAACACCTATATGTACTCACCTTGAGTAATACCATAGAGGTAACTCTAATAGCGAATTCGTTTATTATTCAGTTCCAACCTGGATCGGGTATCAGGATTGGGTCTACTTGTTTTCTGACAAACGTCAGTTTGCTCGTTTGTTTTTAAAACCTAGCTCAGGTTGAGGTTCGCACTGACAAAAAGTTCAGTTTCGCACTGGGTTGGAACTGGTTCCAACCCCGATAATAAACGAATACGCTATAAGACCAGAAGGTACCGAAGAAACGGGTTCAACTTTTTGGGACAGCTCTGGTACTCTCTTCGGTCTCGAAACATAGGTAAATCCACGAACCCCTCAATTTATCTGTCAAACTTTCATAGCGAATTAAAACAAACATAGTGTAGTACTAGAATTTTGACTAGAATGGGGTACGTTGATCGATTTGCTTGGGACCATAGGCTAGTCAAGTAGTGAGCCAATTTAAATTCGTTAGTTTCCACCCGTTGGTGATACTGCGCCCTTAAAGTTTTTCCACGATTGGTTCCAGTTGTCGCTACACATATGCCATCATTTCCACCGACAGGGATGGATTGCTCTTTGGAGCATCGTTCATCATTTTTCAATACAGAAAGCTAACCCTAAATAACAATTTTGGTTTTAGCAGGGTTCTGTAGACGATGATTTAGACTTGTAGAATGCTTTAAAACCTCGATAATATTTGCAGGGCTACTTGGGAACGTTAAATCTAATTGAATTTTTAGTTAATCCATCCTAAAGAGGTAGATTAATGCTATTATTCATCCGATCAAACTACAAAAAATTTGCACAGTAGAGCCACACTCTGTGTTTTCATCATGTATTTTGATCGGGATAATAATAGCTTTAATCGGTCTATTTTAAGATGGATTAACTGAAAATTTAATTGTTCTTAACCTATATATTACCTATAGCTTTCTATCCCAAAAATTAATGAACAATGCTCCAAAGAGCGATCCATCTCCATAAAAAAATCGTCCAGATGAAATAATCAGAATAAGAACATGACTCTGCGATTCAATCAAACTTCATTGTCAAGAGCTGCTGTGTTGTTTTGTGAGTTAATTAAATAATTTTGATTACAAACATAGGCCACATTTTATCATCTACCCCCAACGTTGGAATAGATAAGATACAAATGAAATCAATTCCAATGTTTTCCATTTCTCCATCTGTTTATTTAAATGTTTGACGGTGTCATCTGTTTGACACAGCTGATAAGCTATTCTATTCAATCACGGCTATATATAAGTAACCATAGTCCTCAAATTGTAAGTCACTTGACCAAACTGCACCAGCTGTTCGGTAGTTATTAAGACGGTTTGACGAAAGCCAGTCATCATGATGAACATAAGGTTCATCTCGCTTTGCTGCTGTTTGATGTAAAAACCGTTCAAACTTTACTCTTACTTAATAACCATTAACAATTTCCGACTTCCAGAGCATCAACAGTAGTGAACGGAGAAAGAGAATTTCCAGCGGATTTCAGGTTCGGTGTGGGAACTTCATCCTATCAAATCGAAGGAGGATGGAATGCAGATGGTAAGGGTGAGTCTATTTGGGATCACCTGACTCACAACTATCCGGAAAAGATTGCCGATAGGACTAATGGAGATATCGCCTGTGACAGTTACAATAATGTAAGTATAGTGAAGATTTCCAAACGAAACGATCAACTCAACAGTTCCAATCCAAAAGTGGCGCAGGGATGTCGAGATGAACCACGAACTCGGTGTCAGCATGTATCGATTCTCGATCGCATGGAGTCGTATCATGCCAACTGGGATAAGCAACGAAATCAACCAAGCCGGTATCGATTACTACAATAACCTCATCGATGAACTACTCAAGTACAACATCGAACCGATGGTTACCTTATACCATTGGGATCTACCACAGCGTTTGCAGGAGATTGGAGGCTGGACGAATGCTGCTATAGTGAACCACTTTAAGGAGTACGCCAGAGTTGCATTCGAAAGCTTTGGAGATCGCGTCACATGGTGGACCACATTCAACGAACCCATTCAGACATGCTTGCTTTCCTACGAGTATGATGCTATGGCTCCAGGATACGATTTCCCAGGTGTTCCAAGCTACATGTGCGCTCACAACGTACTACTGTCACACTCGGAGGCCGTAGAACTGTACCGTAATCGATTTCAACACAAGCAAAAAGGTACAAAGCTTGATTTCAATAACCATAATTCTGAATAACTAATACCTTATTTAAAGGAATCATCGGCATCACAATCGACACCGCATGGGGTCAACCTAAAACCGACACCCCCGATGACCTCGAAGCATCCGACCTCCTGTTGCAGTTCAATGTATGTTACATAACATCTAACCGACAATCATCAAACCTAACCTTTTTCCTTCCACAGCTCGGATGGTATGCACATCCAATCTTCTCCAAGACGGGCAACTACCCACAGGTGATGATTGATCGAATTGACGCTCTCAGCAAACAGCAAGGGTTTTCCACTTCTCGGCTACCGAAATTCACCCGAGAGCAAATTAGGAAACTGAGGGGATCATCCGATTTCTTCGGTATCAATGCCTACACTACGCTGATTGTTCACAAAAATGACGAACAGAACTCGGCCAACTACCGCGTTCCATCATTCGACCATGACCGCAATACTGTCGCATACCAGGATCCATCCTGGCCGTCTTCCGGATCAAGCTGGTTGAAGGTTTATCCCAAGGGGTTGTATCATCTGCTTCGCTGGATCAGCGAACAGTACGATAATCCACCAACCTATGTGACGGAGAACGGAGTTAGTGATCTCGGTGGTACCAAAGACGTGGCTCGAGTTCAGTTTTACAATGACTATCTGAACGCTGTGCTGGACGCCATGGAAGATGGCTCGGATGTGAAGGGTTACGTGGCATGGAGCTTGATGGATAACTTTGAGTGGCGAGCTGGACTGACGGAGCGATTCGGTTTGTACTACGTGGACTATGAAGACCCGGCGAGAACCAGAACCGCCAAGAGCTCGGCACTGGCTTATGCGAATATCATCAAAACGAGAAAAATCGATCCCGATTTCATTCCGGAACCGGAGGTTTACATCCCTGGCCCAGATGATGACGGTCTGAAACTGGTCAGAAGATGCAAAACCACCGGCGTGGCTCCATACATTAAGTTGTTGTGTAATTGAAGACACTCAGTATGGTAATAACATGGAGAACACGCGTTTGGAAAAAAATCAATCATGGACGTTGTCTTTGACTTTTTTCCTGGAAATTATTGTTAAGCAAGCGACTATTAAATAAAAATGATTTTTCCCTATACCGTTTTACCCGCTTTACAACCATTTCCCAGAGAGCCAAATAATTCAAATTTGTGTAGCGTTGCCAGCGGTCATCAAAAACACTCCCCGGCACTGATCTTTGATACCAAGCCTGCTTGCTTTAGTTAATTATTTTTATTTATTTAGACCCTAGCATGCTTCTCCTGTACTAAAAAAAGGTTCATTCTACGCTCTATTCTCTCAGAGCCACATGCTGCTGAGAGAAACCAACAAAACAACCTGCTGCGCCGCATTGCGTTGTTGTGTGAACTTGAAAAAACTGCTACCAGTGGCAGAAACAAAATTTAAAAGGCCCACGCTCGGGGTGCCATCGGTATGCCCTAGCTTCCTTATTAATTGCATAACTGTAGGTCTCTGTCTGTGACATAATGTGACGGCCCCATTATAAATGCAAACACGGAACGGGGGCCGTATCATTCCCTACTCGATTAGTTTGAACGGGATTTAGAAAGGATCGCGTTCAAAAAAAATGGGTTCAATAGGAACGATTGCATAAAAAACAAACCAACTTAGCTTAATATTTGCTCCCCAGAGGTATCCATCCTTACGTTTCTCGTGTCGTCCGTCTGCTGCTGATCTCCACTCGTCTATGTGATTCTAAGCTAGTCGTTGGATTGATTATCAGACCGCTAGCGCCGTAGTATCGTCGTTCTCCATTCAGTTTTTGTTCATCACCCCTCACTTCCTCCAAGTTCCCATAAACTGCTTGACCATTGACGAATGTTTGCCAAGTAATCGCTCATCTTCACCGCTTTTACATCTATTCGGTTTTATTAAAATTGATAGCATCTGTTCCACAGATCTAGCTTCTTCTTACTGCGGGATTCCTTCTGATTAACTTTGAATTGCCAATATCGTTCGGTTTTCTCATTGAATATTTCCAATGTTTTAATACCCATTGTTCACGCGATATTTTTTCTTCGCTTAAAAAATCAAGCTCAACTTGCCATCAGAGTTGATAATTATTGTATTCACATTATTATTGCTTATTCACTACTGGTTGATATCCCAAATTCAGGATACGTTTATTCGTCCAAACCGAAAAGGAATGTAGATGCCACTATCAGCCGCATTTTTCCCCTTCAGTCCACCTTCTGTCGACATATTGGGGAATTTACGCATTCTCGGCAATCTAAGCAGCGCCCTTCTTTCTATAGCCTTTTTCTCTAAGGAACGCACACATATGCAGTATTGGTTTGTTTACAATCTATTGCTGCCAGCTGCTCTAACAATTTCAGTCGAAAGAATTGTCAAAAACTGTTTTGAAACGCTTTTACAAAGCTCCAATCTTCTCTAGTGAGAGCGAGTATTGTCGGCAACCAGTTTTTCTTTGGCAACCGTTCCATTTGAACTGCATGTAAATCTGCTGTTCTATTATCGGCAACTCGAAATCAGCTACAATTTATAGTGCGTGTGTTTTATTTCAAGAAAACCTTGCTAGATTTCTTTTTCTCAGTGGTAAAAATATAGTCAAATGGAAGCTGAAAGCATAAAGAATCGTTTGCATGCATTCAGCGAAGTGTTTTCGTAAGAAAATACAGTGAAAATAGTGTTTCAATTTGGGTTGCCGAAAATAGTCTGTCATGCCGAAGTCGTCATTTCCCCTATTTGATTATTCTTCATATAGTCGTCCGGATACCTCATCGTTACTACCAACCAGTGTTGGTAAAATCAGAAATCAATTGATATTTTTCCGCTATCATGCGCTCGCAATATCACGCGTGATATTGGAACAAAATATCATGCTTGATATTGATTTTACAAGCTCCTTTGATATTGCGAGACTATTCACAACGTGCAAATATCAAGCTGATAGATGACTCGACACAAAAATGATTCCATTGCACATCATTTTCTTAGAAAGAGAAAGCATAGTTTGCTATCTCTTTTTAATCTTCACCGATGGCATACGCGAAGAGCCGTTATGGAAGTTTCGGCTGCACAAAAATCATTAAACTCAATCTCACCACAGTTTGGTGAGATTTGCAGTTGGTGAGTTTTGTAAGCTTTATATTCCGAGCTGCGATATCACTGCTTGCAAAATCAACTGTAATTGTTTGCTTGTTGATTTTTGTCTAAGAAAATCAAGCGTGATCTTGGGCGTTGGTGAGATTTGATTTTTTGATATTTTCCCAACACTGCTACCAACACTATTGGTCATCAATCACTCCTCTGACTTGTCTTTACACCATCTTTTCGCCCTTCCTGTCATGCCTGCCTGCTCTGAGAAGTGATTTTCCTTGTTTTATATATTAATTTTAATATTTACTTCTCTTTTTGTTCAAGCACTATTATTGTTCCTTTAATTACTTTTTGTGTTATTTATGTAGTTTATAATCTAATATTTATTTATTTTTCTGTATACATATAATTACGGGATCAGGGCCGCGTTCGGGATTTTAAAAAACACTTAGCACTGCATTAACTACTTAATTATAATTATAATTATATTCAGGAAAAAGATACACTTCTTACTTCACTAACGTCCGAAAGGTAAAAGAGAGCGTAAACCGCTTCGATACTTCCTTTTGTAGACTATAGTTGCTGACTCGGATGATCGGCAACTGCGCTGGACTCTCCGGGTCGATGGCTGGAACTATTGCTGACTCCTACAGATTCCTATGGTTGGTGGATGGCTATGTTGAACTCGATGTTGCTAAGGGTCGGTGATTGCGGTTGTATTAGTGGTCGGCGTCGATGTAACTCCTCGGGGGGGTGAAAAAGTGTCGTCCTCGGCACTTGGCGTCTTCAGGGTTTTATCCTCAACTCTTTGAACTTCCTCAGGCTCCTCTTTTCTTGATTTCTGTTTTCGTCTCCTTAATTTAGATATTCTCCTGGCTACTCTGTCGATTGACCGTCTAAGATAGATAAGGATGAGCATTATCAGTATGATTGTCGTTACTGACAATCCTCCAAAAAGACTCCAAATTCGCGTCTCGTTGTTGAACTGCTTTAGAGACACATGATGAAGTAGTTCCCTGTTGATCAGTGTACGGTTGTCTATCAGGGTAATATTTAAATCGTTCTGTAACCAGCTGTTAATTGGAATGTTGTGTAGTGCTGCTTGAAAGAACTGATATTTTGATGTTACTTCCTTTGAATTATATGTTGTGTTCCCAAATTTAACCGTGCAATTTGAAAATGTGACTATAAAATTTCCGGTCAGGTTTCTATTGTCTGCTCCACAAGTTGATGAGATTGTGCTGTTTCCTGCGTTTGTTATTAAAATGGTGTTGTCGGCTATTAGTTTTCCTTCTAAACGATGATCTGTTTTGGTGATGCATTGAGCAACTCTACCCAGTATGAGTGGTTGAATGCAGTTGTCTGAGAATTCTTGAATGAATGAATGTCGTTGCACGTATTCGGTTGGTTTGCTTGTTGTGAGAAGCGATTTCTTGTGCTTGATTAAGAACTTCGGGTGCTCCTTGATGATATTGTTGTTGATATTTAACGGGAAAATTTGGATGATATCGGCTTCTTCCGGTTCCAGTTGTGGTACGTGTAATATGTAGAGAAGCGAGTTTTTACTGACTGCTATCTTCGGCGTTACGAAATAAAATGCCTCGTCGGGTAGGTCCACTTTTATTCCCTGTTCCTCTAGTAGCGTCCTTATTGTGTTGATTTCCTTCATAGACAATATTCTCGTGTTGACGGTAAACGTTTTTGATAAGATTATAGTGTCCTGAACGTCCAGTAAAATTTTGTTAATTGTGTCGATATTTAGAATTGTAATAAGTGTCTCAATTTCGTTCAGAACTATTTTGTTAGTGTATGAGTTTTCTACTATCTTATTAACGGTATTTGTTAGACTTTGTAGCCTTGAGTTCATTTGTGAATTGATTTGGTATTGTTTGTTGTTTTCAGTAATGAGGTCGTTCATAGAGCTGTTTATGATGCGTAGATCCTGTGCGTCGGGGTTTCCTGCAATCCACTTCCAGGCCGTACCGAGTGTGTCCCACCGTTTACTTCTAGTAGTTGATGTGGGTTTTATTTTATGGAAATTACTGTACAATTCGTTTAGTTTTTGTCTCACTATTTGGGTAAGTGGGTTAGTAATCTTCTCGTAAACTAGTGTGGTAACTAATTGCATGGTTACTTCTATATCCGTTAGGTTTATAGGATGTATTATTCTTATTGTTCCTGTTTGTATCTTGCATTTTCCAGTTTTCATTATAAGGATGGGATCGTTGCTCAAATGTTTGATTCCGAGATCTTGACTGTATATTCCTAATATGGATATTAGTGCTCCTATGAGTGATATTTTCATCTGTTAATGACAAAGATAATTATAGAATGTATTAGATTGTTAGTAGAAATCTTATTTTTAAATTTTTAAATTGTATTCATTTTTTCAATCGTTTGATTTTTTTCTTATGACGTTTAACATTGTTCGAGTTTATAAATGTTTTGTCTTGTATATTTCTAGCGGTAGTAGAGACTGCCCTTGGTTCAGTTTTCGTTCGTATGTTTGGTATAACAAAAACTTCTTCATTTTCTTGAATTGTTGGTGCATCTTCCCTTAAATCATTTCTTCTAATCTGTCTCTCTTGAGCTTTTAACATATTTGTTTTTGCTTCTAAAAATAGTTTTTGTGCATTACCTATTAATTCTTCTGGGTTATTGATATTATTTAAATTGAACATGATTTCATTAGGTTTCAACTTGGTACTTGAGTGTACACTTTCGTTATATAAAGCGACGGATAATTTAACTATTGACTTCGTTCCCAAATTTTGAAATTTATATTTATTTGAATTAAAGATTTCTATAATGGTTGAGTGGGTTCTCTCAATTTGCCCGTTTGATTCAGATGATGCTGCGTATTCTATACAGCAACCTAATTGACTTAAAAAGTTTC